TGCATTCTACAGCAGTCTTACAGCTTCTTACAGCCGGTGTACTTTTTCGCCATTGGCTTCAAATTCGTATATGCTTTGAGCGCCTTTTGCCAGTGACTCGACAAGGTCAATGAAAAATGAAAAGTTAAACTCCGTTGTTCATATTCACATTACAGACTTCATCCTTCTCCCTTCACAGCACAAGGGCTGTGAGTCATTTTTCAAGAGTATAAAAGGATCTTCGTGTATTCAAGTGCACAATCTTTCAACTCTTGAACGGATGAAAAACTTCCAATCATTATCTCGTCGAGCATGCTCATCCGGTCGTTTACAACGTGGAATTGCGTCAGAAGTCAATATTCCTCTTCTCCTTACAACCATCATGACTAAAATCAGACTCACAGGCTGTACCTCGACCAATTTCCTCGATACCCCCGGCCCCATGCACAAAGTACAAAGCTGTCACTCATGATAATGCTCAAAAATCCGAAAAGACACAAGCAACTCTATCCAGAGCGAAAGAGTACATCTTGCCTGTGTATGCCAGGCCTGACTTCGTTCTCTCTCATGGGAAGGGATCGTATGTTTGGGACACTGAGGGAAGAAAGTACCTGGATTTCAGTGCCGGTATTGCGGTTAATGCGCTGGGACATTCTGACGAGGGGGTTACTAAGGTCAGTTCTTCGCACAAGTAATACGTTGGACGCGATTGGTCTATCTGGTCTATTCTCTATCTATCTATATTTACGTTCCTACTGTGATCCCACAGGTTCTTGCCCAACAATCCCAACAACTGCTACACACGAGTAACGTTTATCACAACGAATGGGCAGCTAAGCTTGCCGAATTATTAGTGACATTAACCCAAAAAGAAGGGGGGTTGGGTTATCCTGCTGAGAAATCACCAACGGATGGTGCTACTCCCGGTGCAAAGGTGTTTTTCTCCAATTCCGGAACCGAAGCCAACGAGGGTGCACTGAAGATTGCAAGGAAAGTGGGTAAAGATCGTTGGGCAGCTAACGCTGCAGGACGTTCATGGGATTCGAAAGACTGCACTAAAACGCGTATCGCGTGTTTCGAGTCTTCGTTCCATGGTAGAAGTATGGGTGCATTGAGTGTGACCAGCTCGGCCAAGTACCAACTTCCGTTCGCACCCCTGCTTCCCGGAATTGATGTTGGAAAGGTGAATGACTTCGATGGTTTATCGTCGCTTATTGGCGAGGACACCTGTGCTGTAATCGTCGAGCCAATACAAGGAGAAGGTGGGATCAACTCAGCACAAACGGAATGGCTAGCGGCGTTGAGGCAGCGCTGTGACCAGGTAGGCGCTGTATTGATCTTTGATGAAATACAGGTGTGTATGTCACAGTCTATCCGTCCACGTCCGATGTTTCCACATGGCTTTTACTCACTACGCGCAGTGCGGATTATATCGGACTGGGACTCTATGGGCTCACTCGCCGCTTCCTGTTGAATGCCATCCTGATATCGTGACCATGGCTAAGCCATTGGCAAATGGATATCCCATTGGTAGCGTTCTACTGCGAGATTCAGTTGCTTCTACTATGACTGCCGGTTAGTGTATAAGGTATCCCACATCTGACCACATCTTTGATCCTCCCGAATAGGGACACATGGAACAACTTTCGGTGGATCACCAATTGCTTGTGCTGTGGGCTACCATGTCCTCTCCCGTCTGTCAGACCGTCCTTTTGTAGCTCAGATCGCCGAGACCAGCGCATACCTTTCCGGACGGCTGTCCCATCTACCGACCTGGTTCCCAGACATACTGCAGCCCACGATCCGAGGCAGGGGGTTAATTCTGGGATTGGCGTTCAAGGATGAGAAGGACCCGGGTCGCCTTGTGAGTTTGGCCCGGGAGCGAGGAGTGTTTGTGCTCACAGCGGGTAAAGATGCCGTTAGATTGGTGCCCAGTTTGAATGTGGGCAAAACAGAGGTGGATTTGGCAGTTGATGTGATTGAAAGCTGTCTTGGAGAAATGCAATGAGCCTGTTCAGGTTATTACCTGTTCCTCCAAGTCTCTCCAAGTACGAATAGAACGACGGGGTCGGAATTGACTGTCTTCTTACGAGTCAGCGGCGAACGCAGTAATCAATCATGCTTTTGCTATGTACACAGGCCCAGGCTGAGGCTCTTGAGTTTTGATCAGGTTCCAATGTTTGACATGATTTCCGCGATTCAATACGTGTCTTCCAGAAGCACTTGCCATAAACTTCAATAAGTTTCCTATAAGAGGCTATCGGAGGCCGCCGGAACTCATTAACCGAGTAGTATGACATAGACACGGCGTTTGATTGGCTGATACAATTGTCAAGTAGGTCACGATATAAATTCCCTCGACGACCGAAATTGACACTCATATTTTTTCCTCTTGTCCTGGGTAAACTATATTCCTCACGATGGACAAACTCTCTACGCTTTCGCGCTTCAAAGCATCGTGCCCATTCCTGGGCAGGACAAAGACCTCGACACTGCGCAACTTGTGTACTTCGACTTCGACTCGCTTCCCGTCGATCTCCCTACTTACCGAGCGCGCTACGAACTGCCCGGTCATGGGTCCAGCGTTGAGTGTCCGTTCCAAGGAAATCGTGGCTGGCTACGCAAGCATGGCTGGTAACTCGGACATCGAACAAATTCACAAGGAGAAGGGAGTGAATATTCCTGTTGATGCTAGTGTCGAGATGTGTCCTCATGCGTCTGCTGCCCGGGCTGCAGCTCGTATGGCAGACGATCTGGCTCATGCTGCCAAAGGAAAGGAAATATCCAGCAAGGCTGCTGCTGCTGCCGGATGTCCTTTTCATAAGGCTGCTCTCGAGCAGACAGCGAAGGCCGCGGGGGTTGCCCCGCACCCGGTTCCCGTTTCTACCGCATCTACCTCGGTTAGTTCTTCTACTCGAACCGGTGCCTACAACTATGAGGCGTTCTACAACACTGAACTAGAGAAGAAACACAAGGATAAATCTTATCGGTACTTCAACAACATCAACCGTCTCGCGCACAAGTTCCCTGTTGCGCATACTGCCAAGGTTGAAGATGAAGTTCAAGTATGGTGCTCGAATGATTACCTCGGAATGGGTAACAATCCAGTTGTCCTGGAGACCATGCAGTGAGTTGTATAACTCGTCCCCCTGTTCTACCTAGCTCAATCACCTGTAGTCGGACTTTAGACAGGTACGGTCATGGTGCGGGAGGAACGCGTAACATCGCAGGTAACGGTGCCGTCCATCTTGGCCTCGAACGTGAATTAGCTACTCTCCACCGTAAAGACGCTGCTCTAATCTTTTCGTCCTGCTACGTCGCCAACGATGCTACTCTCTCTACCCTCGGGACCAAATTACCCGGATGTGTGATGTTCTCTGACAAGAGTAACCACGCATCCATGATTCAAGGGATGCGTCACTCTACAGCGAAACGGGTCATTTTCAAACACAACGACCTGGAGGATTTGGAGAATAAGCTCAAGGAGTACCCTAAGGAGACTCCGAAGATTATTGCGTTCGAGAGTGTGTATTCCATGTGCGGTAGTATTAGTCCCATCTCGGAAATATGTGATTTGGCAGAGAAATATGGTGCATTGACTTTCCTTGACGAGGTATGTTTTTTGTTTTATCATTATTTTCAAATGAAATTTCCCCTAATATGATTCTTGCCCTAGGTGCATGCTGTTGGTTTATACGGACCCCGTGGCGCTGGTGTCGCGGAACACCTTGACTATGAAGCTCAACTGGCCCATGGCGAAAACCCTGACCCCATTCCTGGTTCAGTCATGGATCGTATCGATATTATCACTGGTTAGTAGATGTCTGATAGCTTCCATCTGCATAATGCCAACATTTTTTTGGATGTTCACAGGTACTCTCGGTAAGGCATACGGCGCTGTCGGCGGCTACATTGCTGGTTCAGACGATTTCATCGACATGATTCGGTCCTACGCTCCTGGTTTCATTTTCACAACGTCTTTGCCTCCTGCTACGGTCGCCGGTGCTCAAGCTAGTATCGCATACCAAAAGATATACCTTGGTGATCGTCAGCTCAAACAGGTCAATGTCCGGGAAACCAAACGCCGATTCGCAGAGCTGGATATTCCTGTTGTGTGAGTATCCTTGAATGATTTTTTGCGGATTCATGAAGCTGTGTATTGATCTTACTCTATGCCCGCAAATTTCATAGACCCGGTCCATCACACATCCTTCCCGTCCTCGTCGGCGACGCAGCTCTTGCTAAAGCCGCATCTGATAAGCTCCTCTACGACCATTCTATCTACGTTCAGGCCATTAACTACCCTACCGTCGCTGTCGGCGAAGAACGCCTGAGAATAACCGTCACCCAACGCCACACCGTTGAACAAATCAACAAACTAGTCGCAGCTGTCGACCAAGTCTTCACGGATCTAAACATCAACAGGATTAAAGACTGGAAATCTCTTGGCGGACGTGCGACTGTTGGTGTTCCAGGTGAAGATGATGTCGTGGAACCGATTTGGACTAAGGAACAGCTTGGGGAAGAGACGGGGACGACGCCGAAAACGCTGAGGGATGGGGAGAAGGATGTGGTTGACCCACAGGGGGTGTTTGTTGCGAGGAGTAGGTTTGATCATTTATTAGGACCGATTTCTGGGCCGTTGCGGTCTGGGTATCAGGATGTTGCGCCCGCCATCGCCACCAACACTACCACTACATCGTCTGCGGCTTCGCTCGTGCCCAAGACTATGAAGACGGGGACGAAATTGATGGACTTTGCTCCCAGGGCTAGGGATATCCCGGTCCCTCCTCCGTCCAAACTGAGTGCGGTTGCGTAAATAGGCTCCCTCAGTCCCCCCTGTTCGTTGATTTTGTTATATGTGCTCGTCGTCGCAGTAGTACACATAGTAGTCGGTTGTCGTACTTCGCTCGTTCATTCATTTCACTTCAGTTTCTATCTGGAATTCATCGTCGTTGTTGCTGTTATTTTTGAGTGTGTCAGAAGTAAAGGTTCTTGTGATCTCTAGCTAGCCTCCATGAGCATTAATGGGGTAGTGGTAACCTGGGTCGTTGCCATATTAATTTGGCTGCGTTCATCGACCCGCCGGGGGTTCAATTCCCCCTTAATGCATTCATAATTCCTCGAGACAGCGAGACAAATGAATATTTTGCTTTTAGTACATACTGTGCATTTTAGTGCAGCTTCGAACCAGATATCCAAGTTTTTAGCTTCGCAGCAGTGGAGCAAATCATTGTTCATTCTACTATCAGTGTACCTTCCATACACATGTACATAACTCAAGGTTTCCCCACTTCCCTTCTAAACCCTCCACCTTTTCCTCCCCCCACCTCCACCACCTACCCCCAACCCAATTGTGCTCTCCCAATTAACAATATGCCCCAACAGCTCCGCATTCTGTTTCGCCGTCGCTGCCACACCTCCACTGCCACTGCCACTTCCTCCAGTCCCATTCACACCATTCGCAGAAGAATCAATATCCATATCATCCTCCTCGCTATACTCTGTTGCTAAGAGAAGGTTCTTGAGCGACTCTTGAACGAGCGCGGCAGTGCGGAGCTTTTTTTCCATTTGGAGCTGGTTTTGGGATTTTGGGGTAGTGTTTGAATTTGAGGAGGATGAGGAGGAGTTTTGGGAGAGGGTACGACGGGGTGCGGCCTATGGCGATAGGCGGGTTGAGTAAATCATTGATCAATACTCATAACACGTAATCGACTCACTGGTGTCTGCAAATAGGTATGTTTGGGCGGTAAACCAGGTAAATTTCCCGGGAGATTACGCAATGTGGATGTTGGTATCGTGCGCAATTTCGTCGTGGTCGTTACCGCTGGACCAGAAGCCTGAATTTGATTATGTGAGGTCAACGATGGAGGAGCGAGTGAAAGGTGGGTTGGATGTGCGGTTGGTGGGATGTGGTTTATTTGGTGATTGGGATAATGGGATTTTTGTTGTTGGACTGGTGCAGTGGGTGTGGGAACTGGGTCTTCCATCTCGATCTCGTCGTCGGAATGGAGCAATTCTGGAGTAGGTGAACGAGGAGGATGGGGGACGACGGTGAGGGGTAGTGAAGGTTTTGCTTTTGCTTTTCCCTTTATGTCCTTTCCTTTCATCTGTTTCCTCTTCCTCTTCCTAATCCAATTCGCCAATGTTTTCGGGCCAACATCGTACGCCCAGTCTTTCTCAAAATCCTCCGCCGCAAGAAGTAAATCAGTAGCGATTGGTCCTGATCTATTTGCGAGGTTAGAGTACGAGTGCGCGAGAGTGTATAAGGATTGAACGACTTGAGTGGGGAGAAAGGCTGAATTAGTCAAAGAAAATGAAATGTACATTGTACTCACATCCAACAACCTCTTGTTCAATGACATACAATGCTTCCGGCATCGCACCATCGAATCCAGCATTCCGCAATTCACCTGCAGCTAATCTTTGTATAGACTGACTTGCTTCTCGTGAAGTGACTGCAGAAGCGACAGGCGACGAAGGTCGGATTGTTCCTGTAGGTGATTTATGTGTTCCTACTCCCATTGCGGTTGTTACACCAGGAATCCCATTAACCACGGGAATTCCCAATCCATACGACGAAGCATTATAGGTCGTCGAAGGAAAAGAATAAGAACCACCAGCTGTATTATTATTATTATTATCATGATTATTATTATTATTTGTGTATGAGCCACCATTTTCGTACCAGAAGTGGGTGTCCCAGCACGCAAACTAGCGTATTGGGCAAGATACTGAGCAGCAGATGGCGAGGGTGTATAATGCGTCGATGACAATGTCGTAGATGCTGTAGCCAGAGTTGGAACTGGAACTGGAGCGACAGCTCCAGTGAGGCCTGGGATAGCGGCTGTTGATGAGGCTGAAGGTGTAATGTAATGCGCTTGGGGATAATAATTCGGTATGGTCGGAATTGACATCGCTCGTTTACAGATGAAATGGGATAAAACGTGAGCACAGCGCGCAAGAAAAGGGAGAGGTCGAAATTAGCGCGCGCGAATTGTGATTAAGCTTGAAGTACCCTTCAAATTTAACAGTGAACGTTTGAACCCTCCCAACCAAACGCCAATACCAAGCGTCTGTCGGATGTATTGAAAGTATCCAGAAAACACTCAAGGACTTATTCTATCAACGAAAAGCGGAGACAGAGTTTGAGAAAATACGCAAAAAAAAACTCAAAGAAATGTTGAACCACCCGTACTAGCCTCTATACATGAGCGACTTTCCCGTGGTTCAACGATTTGCAACTCATTCTCACTTAATCACACTCAAGGTTTGGCTATCAGTAGACTCACTATAGCCCTCGAATCCCAGCTTATATATTGTTCAACATATAACTTCCTACAGTGTAGAACTACACTACTACCCTTGAAGCTTGCGATGTCAGATTTACTACTGTTGCCTTGAGCTTGCGAGGCTTAGGACCGCTTTTTCACAATTATCAACCTCGATGAAAGAGCATATGCAAATGCACTTACCAAGGTCCAAGGTGCGTGCTTTCATCATACCAATTATAGGGTGATATAGGTATTGACTTTGACATATAGAATTGTATCTAGTTTACACAGTAGACACAGACATAGCGCAGTGTTGTCTCAGGTATCCAAATTCGGAGCGGGACCTAGCATGAATCTGTTTGAGACCAGTCTATCAGACTCAGGTAGGTAGGGTGGTTTAATGTAGAATCTAATCTAGATGCAAGAACTCGCTTCGGCGTAACGTCGAGCTCGATGGTCTCGGAGTCCAAAAAAGCTCAATATTCTGTCCACCATACCTATGAATGCTCTAGAGGCAATTGAAAAAGAAATGAATTGTAGATCATTGAGCGCCGACTTCACGCAATCTGGATTCTGCCTTGAAAGCAGAAGACTCAGCAGGATAGACGTCAGTAATCTTATCAGATCTCATTGCTGTAGGCCGCAAATGCCAATCTCATTTAACTTCAACTTGGACTTTGGTTTTTTTGCATAGTGACTAAGTAGGACTAAGTGCTATTACTATAGATAATCTTACTTAGATAAGACAAACCGAATCGCATCTAGGCGCCTTTCAGAGCTTGCGTGTCGACTATCATCCGTCCAGTCCACCATCGCCATACTGCTTCGTATAATCACTCATCGATTACTCACCAATCGTTGTGATAACCACTATGTCATGCACAAAATGTGGATATTCATCTGATAGAGCACCTCTACCTATTCCTCTTCATTCCACCCGCATTGATAACCTCTTGCACACCAATGACTCCCCAACCGAAGATGAACAGAAAACTCTGGAGACCTTCTTAGGCCATGGCAATTTGGAACTTCAACACCTTAATGCCCGCATTGTCTCTGTGGAAGCCCTGCTCGAAGAGCTCGAGCGCGCTAAAGCTTTGCTTGCAAAAGCAGTCTCAGAGCACAAAACGGTTCTGAATCCTTTGCGACGCATGCCGGATGATCTCCTGGTGGAGATATTTCTTCATGGTGCAGGGCTTTATATAGATCCCGGAGACTATTTTCCTTCGGCACGACATTCTCTGGATCTCAACTCCCCTCCATGGACATATAGCCGGGTGTGTCGTCGCTTGAGGGAGACAGCCATGCATACACCTCTTCTTTGGACACGAGTCAAAATCGAAGCGGATCACCTTATCCAGAATGTACAGAATAGATATCCGAGTCAGAGTCCGCTTCTTTTTGGTCTCTCCCTTCTATCAGGGTATCTGAGTCGCTCAGCCGCATTACCTCTTGCTATCTACCTTGACATGCCCTCGTATCGCTTGGATAAGTATGCTCATAGTATTTCTGCCCTCGTTGCCTCTCATTCCCAACGCTGGGAATCATTATTTCTGGGCATAGTTCAATCTTTTGATTCGAACAATATGGTCTTATCAGAAGACTCCTTCCCTTTGTTGAGAAGGTTGCAAGTCGACGTTCGAGGGGTGTCACCATCAGTTGATATACCTGCTCCAAACCTAAAAGCATACTCAATCGTCGGCCGCGTCGGTGGCGCAGGATATAGCTTCACCGAGGCTTCGCTCTCGACAAAACTCTGCAGCCAAATTACAAATTGTTTGCTGTCCAATATTTCATACAAGGTTGCATTGAGAGTGTGCAAGCACCTCCCCCATTTAAGCAGGTTAATGGTACAGAACTTGCAGGATGACCTGAGCCCAAATGTGTGGGATCAGATCAAAACATTTCCCAATCTGCAAGAGCTTTTTGTAGAACACTCAATTTCAAGTACTGCAGACTGCACAGACATACTCAACCCATTCTTCAGTTTAATGACTTGCCCTGCTCTTAAATCTCTATCTGTCAAATCATTCTTCCATGCCCCATTGGAATTCACCATCAAAGAGTTCGAAAAGCGCTCCGCTTTCAATCTTGAATGTTTGGATATCAATGCATGGACCAATATATACAAAGACATCCAGAGCACTATGAACCTCATGTCACTTGCAGTCAGTGACCTTAGCTATGACAATGCCAATGATGTCTTCCATCAATTAAAGCCTTTGGAATCAACAACTATTACCCCATTTCCTGTCCTTCATCGACTGGAACTTCATCTGCGACAGTCACGGTGGCCTTACTTTTGCTGGGAAACCTATAATGTAATGGAGGCCTTGTATCGCTGTGTTTCTTCTCGCCTTTCCACTGCCAATTCTTCCAATCTGTCACCTCTCGAAGTGTTTATCACTGCGCCGGATCAAGAAGCTAGGAAGATGCTTGACCATCCCCGATTAGGGACACTTCGTTCACTAGGAATGAAAGTTGATATCATAGCTTCGTGAACCTAGTACGATTACTACCCACTTCTATATTATCCACCACCACCACCACCACCACCACCTGTATTCCGGTATTTGGTTTGATGTAAATGGTTCCAGTCAGATTGCGGGGATTTCTTTGTTGTTAGTACCTACCTGATAAACAACATTACTATTTGTTTCCCACAGATGTTTCCGAGTTGTTCTTTGGTTCAGGATGAATTCAAATCGTTGGACAAACCCAACTTGAAGGCATTTTTCATCCTTCCGTTCCGCAGAGAGAGAGAGATGTGCCACTAAGAACTACAGATACTGTACATATACAACATAATTCACTAAACAGCGACGAGTCTTAAAGCCTTACCAGCACATTAAATTTCACTCTGAATTACCAAACAGCCTTGCCAGTTCCATGAAATCCGACACCACCACATCAACCCCATCTACATCTCCTCCTCCCGATTCCGATAGCCTTTTCCTATCCTCATCCGACAAACCCGCATCTTCCCCGGGCCGTCGGACATAAATAGTTCTCATCCCCGCCTTCTTTGCAGCGCGCAAATCGAAAAGGTGTGCAGCAACCATCGCTGATTTGGTTGTGCCTTCTTTATTCGGGGCAATAGAGAGGTGATGTAGGGCTGAGGCATAAGCAAGGGGGTTTCTGTGTATAGGAGGGAAAGGAAGAGGAGGAAGAGAGGTAGTAAGTACAGCGTAGTTCAGAAAAAAACGCAAGTGCAAAATGAATCAAATTTGACGAAGAGTCCATCAGATCGCAGCGAGTCGCTCCGGCTGCTGGGTTGAGACTAGGTTGATTGAAGTTGTATGTACTCACGGTTTATAAACTCCCCACAATGCACTCGAGAACACGACATCCCATGGTAAGCCCGCATGCTTAGCCATGTCGACGAGGAGACGGACGTTTCCGTTGGAGAGGGTGGCGATGATCAAATGCTTTTTGAGGGCATGGAGGCCGGGTAGGGTGTCAGGCCATGCTGTAACCCGGGATTCGTCCGGGGGAGGTGGATGAGAATGAACGTGGATCGTATGCCGTAGGGGAAAATGAGAAACCACATAATTAGTGCTAGCACAGTATATGTGTAGAGGATAAGTTCTCCCCACCATCCAAACGATGCCAAACCAAATTCAACTCAACCCTAGCTTCTTCTTCTGACAATGCTTCTCCAATGTGCGACCATCGGGGTGATGATAGCATAGTATCGAGAATCTGCGAGATTCTCAATATTTGTGGGGTATACCGATGGTTGATCATTGATAGGTACTTACTTCTCGATGCATAACATCCACATCATTAGTTCCTTCCCCGCCTTCGGCAATCCGGCGTCTGTAGGTGCATTAGCCAAACAGCCATTGAACCGAATGGTATGTACTAAATTGATAAATTAACCCATACATACGTGTTGTTCATATACCCCTGCCTCCACTCATTCGCAAAGTCAAGCCAATCTTGAGGCGAGTCTGATTGAGTCAATTGTTCAGAGATGATGAATAACATCAAGACAAGACCGGAGACGATAACAATCGAGAGCATATGTTGAACCAGGTGACGAAAATCAAACCAGTACGAACCATTCAATGAATACCTCTTTCCAAGATTCTCCAGCTCCTTTGTCACCGAGCTGCGCCAGTCTACGACGGTTCCGAAGACATCGAAGAGGAGAACTTCTACTCCGTGTAGAAGATTTGGTGAAGGAGGTGCCGACATTGGATGAGGTTTGGTTAGTATGAAGGGGTATGGTGGAGAGTAGGGCAAAAGAGAGACTTAAGAATAGGGAGGTCGGTGAGAATACTTTACACGGTCGATCAGGAATATAACTGGGTTTCTTTGCCGAAGCATTTTTAGAAGAAGGTTGCTATCTTTGGACGGAGAAGACGGCCCGTGACGCGCGAAGTGTGAGAGAGGAGTCGATGTAGAGAGTCTTCCCAGAAAGGATTCCGAGGTTCCAAGTCCGGTCGTCGGAAGTGAGTAGAAAGCAGGATGGAGAGCGAAAATTGGACGAAGAAGGGGGTATATAATGTTCTTGTTGTCCGATGTATTTATCATATGTTCTGACACTATACATTGTATTCCGTAGTCTGCCTTTATTTATCTATTCACTATTCACTATGAACAACACGCTATACCCAAGAGTAACCTTCTCTCGACTGCGTCTCTATCTTCAGAAGTCCATTCTATCTGTATTTCATCCAACCGTTGGGCCCACGACAACTACGACGGGTTATAACTTGGTCATCTCTTCCTGCTCCTCATTCCGCACATCTCCGTTCACCGTTTGCTCAGACTCCTGAGGCCCACTCAATTTATCATCATCGAAAAAAAACTCATCCTCAGCGAACCGGGCGTAATCCGGTCTAGCAAGACAGTTGAGCGCTACACGTTTGTCTGTGTCGATGTCTTCTATGAGTGCTTCTGTATATTGAGAGAAGGGCTAAGAACCAATCGGTAGAATTATTTATTGCTACCCACCTCGACTAACATAATCCAATTCCGGCCTTATATACCCCAACACCAACACCTTCATATCGTATCCATAAAAATCATTCTCGAAATCATGTAATATATGTATTTCAGCCGTCAAGCGTTCGTTTTTGTAAAACGGGTTCCAGCCGAGGGACATTACCATCGGGAGGGTGGAGTGGTCGATGTGGTCGTTGGATGAAGGCGGAATAACCTTTGCGAAGCCATAAAACACCCCAGTATCCACTTTTCCGCGCATTTCTTGTACACCGGTTCCACTTCCACCGTGATCGTCATCAGGTAGATTCGCAGTGGGACACCCGAGATCTTTACCGCCTCTTCCAAATCCTTTGCAGACCGGGCCTTGTAAGCGGATTGGGTACGGGGAACCATGATAAATGGGTGACGAAGGACCGACAAGGAGAGGTCTGGAAATACGATATGATGTTGTGGAGTTTAGAGCTGGGGGATGAGTGGATTGAGATTCAGATTGGGCGACCATGATTCCTCTTCTTTCGTTCTGTATTCCCTTAACGAGACTAGTAGATGTACAACACTGTAAAATGATTAAAAGCAAACGAAAGGTCAAGGGAAAAAGAACCCCAAGTGAAAGACAAGGAACGTCGAGGAATACAAGAGAAGAACATGTTCCTACGTTTATACGCATAAATAACATAGTTTGCTTTCATGCATTAATGGGGTAGTGGTAACCTGGGTCGTTGCCATTAGCCAGTTTGTCGACCCGCCGAGGGTTCGATTCCCTCTTAATGCACTAGTTATTTAACCGATGTGTAACTTTTTTGAATGTACAGTCCTACATAGTTCAGTATGTAGTCTGTAATGCTTGTATGTTCTCTTCTGCTCAAATTCCTAGTTCATTCATCCGCAGCAAAAGTGAACCGAGTTGGGTTGTTATTTTGTGGTGGGCGGGTCACTCAGCGAGTCTGCTTAAAGTGCTTATCAAATATTTCAATCTCTCTCTTACTTTCATCGATGGCTGAACCTGCCGCTACCACCATACCCGCTCCCACTTCCTCCACTCACCCATCCACCACGTCCATCCCCCTCCCTGAACGTCGACCCACATTCCCAAACTTCCCACTCTCCACCCACCTCACTTTCCTCAGCGGCCTCACAGCCGTCCTCCTCGTTCCCTACCTCTTATTCTCCAGACGAATACGACAAACCACCGACAAGACTACCCGGGTAATAACATTACTTCAAAGAAATTCTGAATCTATCCACCGCAGAGTCCATGACTTAGAGCTTTTGGTACCGAATGTGCAAGCAGGATCGAACGAGGTGGTGAACGATTTAAGGAAGGAATTTCGTGGTGTGCGGAAGGAGTTGAGTGATGTTTGTGGCATTGTAGATGCTGAACGACAGCGTGTGGATGGTCTCATGAGCCAGACAGACCAGATAAACGCAGAGCGTGAATTGGCTTTGAGCTTGAACCAACAAGCTACGAAAGCCACACACGACACAGAACACCTAGTGAATCAATTGAAGACCGAGCTCAAGGTAGCCAAACTCGAAGCGCACGATGCAAAGCAATTATACACCGCGTTGCATGCCAACTTGATCGACTTGAAGCAGAACTTAGATCAGACTCGGGATATGTTGCAGAAAGCAAACAAACTGAGCAATGACAATTCTGCTAGTGCTACTGCTCAATATCAATCCAATTTGCAGTTTCTACTGGAAGAAGCAAAGATCAATCGGTGAGTTACTGATCACGTACTCACACTTTTCCACATCTCAATCCCCTGATTCTTTGATGACTCTTCTCTCTATTCTATACACATCATACGGATCCCAATACATGACTGATAACTGATCAATTGTAATGCAGCACCCAAGGCAACGCTCTCCGTTCAATAGGCCTCTCTCTAGCCGATATCGCTGCATTCATGCACGAAGTCGAGCTCTCTATTCCGCTGCTTATCCCACCTGAACCTACTCATCGCCCGGGAGCTGGTGGTAGCGTGAACAATCAGAAGAGCCTGATTTACGACAATAAATCCCGCGTGGAAAACCTTAGGCTTTCAGCGCTGATGTTGCAGAATTTACCGAGGAGTCAGGACAGGAGTCGGAGTGAGAGGTCAAACATAAACACCAGTCACAGGGTGCAAATCTCCATAAGTTGCTGCCACTTACTGAAGACTTTTGGAAAATTGATGTAAATTTCTGATAAGATAAGATTTGTGACTTATGGAAAGTATTACGTAGAACTTATGGAACAAAACTTCCATAAAAGGAAATTTATTTGCATAAGTTCATCATAAACAACAAGATAAGTAGACAATCTTATGCTTTAGCCATTTTATGTTAATTCACCGTAAGTTTCTCATAAGCCACAAAAACTTATGATAATTTGCACCCTGTGAGTGTGTATCATATCAACTCTTCATTCTTGCTTTATTTACATAACGCTCTGTTCTGGATTTCCTTAGGTACTAACTAGGTACTGAAGTCAAGAAGTTTGTTGGTTGGTGGCAGTTTCGTCGAGACTGATCGAGACTGTGAGGTGAGGCTTGATTGAATGAATTTATGAGCTTGAACGTGGTTGGATGGGATTTTACTCTCAGTCCGAGCTGTATCACTAGCAGGAAGTTATTATGTACAAACCAGATGGAATTCAGATGTGCTTTGGATGTATGTAATGAGGATGTATGTATGTAGAGATAATGTACAAATGCAGTGGGTTGTTCGATTTGATGAGAGCCAAAAATGTGCAAGATATGGAACCTGAGGAAACACACTATGATATCACTATAGCGTTAGTGTGTTACCCTTATACTACCTCCTCCCCTTCATTATTCATCATCAAAATCCGTTTCCGTAAACTCCACAACACTCAAATCGACTGGCTTCACGGCATGTTCCAAATCCAAATCAATATCCATGGGCGGAGAAAAAGTCATATCTGCAGTTGCCACATCCGAACCAGGTCCCAAAGTTGGGATAGGCGTAGGAATCGAGGTCGAGACGGGTTTCCCCTTCTCCGCTTTCTCAACATCTCCGTCTCCATCTCCATCCAGAAACCCCAAACACCCCTTAAGGCACCCTCTCCACCTCACAGGAATCTCTCCTAGATTTTCTACACCCGCAATCGTACTCTCCCATGTGAATCGCTCTTCAGTGTGTTGATAAAAGAGGGAGGAGGTGGGGCCATTGGGACCATGATGATGATGACACGGAGAAGGACAAAACCCTACACCAGTGACCTCGTCTAAATCTGGAATGGAGTTGGTATCGGTATCGGTAAGGGAAGAGTGATGATCCCAATCCTGACTCTGACACCGGTTCCCATACTCGTCATCACTTGAATACCCCTTCACACTTCCCGGAACCGCATAATGCAAGCGGCGTTGAACCGAGGGAGGGAGGAAAGATGTGGATTCTGGAGGCAAGTCATATATCAGTTCGATTTTTGGTCGTCGGACATGGGGAGAGATGACGGAAGTTGTTGTGCCAGGGGTATTTTTGGTCGGTGTTTGATTTGGAGTCGGACTGTTGAAACTTTTTGTTGGGGAAGGGGTGAAAGATGGAAAGAATGAGTTGGCAGTGGAGAAGGAGAAGGGATTGGTGGAGGAGTAGGTACTGTTGGTAGTGGTGAAAACCCTTAAACACAACTCAAACAACGATGGAACGCCATTCTCGAAGATCAACTTGACCGGGGACATCAACCTTGGCACGGCCTGGCCCAACCGAGATTGACTTGTTTTGCTCCTCTTTAACGTTCGCCTGAACGAACGCGTTTCGGATAGAAGCGACGGAGGCGGGGATATAAATGGATTGGGCTGCACAGACAATTTGGATAATGACATCCCAAGCATCTCAGCTGGGAGATATGTTAGTTTGTTGTTGGCGACGTTGAGTTCTTTTAATGATGTGAGGAAGACGATTTCCGGGGGGAGAAAGGCCAATTTGTTTGAACCTATAGTTAGGATGGGTTATTAATGAGTAGATGGAAGAGAAGCGTTATTCAAGCACGCACGGAGTGACAAAACAGTCAGCCTATCAAGGTGAAATAATTGCGGAGGAAGACGAGTGAGAAGGTTATCAGCCAATAATAAAGTCATTGATTGTCGAGGTACACCTGGTAGTGCGCGTGTGCTTGGTGTCCGACTCATGTCCAGACGATGAGCCTGACTTCGTGTACGGTGATGATGAAATGACAAATCCGAAATCGAGGGGGAATATGAATTTGAACGGCTTGCAGCTGTACGAGCAATATTCTCTGGATTAACGAAATTTTGTTCAGAGTATTGATCGAGGATGACGATATTGTTGAGGTCAGTTATCCCGCGTTCGGGGAGGTAAGAAAGGTTTTGACGTCTGTGCAAAAATGAAAACAACAACCACAAGATAGGAACTTCTGATGAGTTTGCGACGAGCATATTGTTTGCGAGGAAAAAAATAATGAAAGCTTCAAACTCACTCGAACGCGATATGCAGACTACAATCCATGTATGCTTTTTCCACAGTGTCTTCGAACAACTTCTCAGGCCCAGGGTCTGACCCAGTCACCGACGAACGCAAGTTATTGAACGTGTCAGGATCAAATAGGCCGGGAGAATCGAAATCTATTCCTTCAAACACCGTACCAAAACCCCGGTGCTTTGGCGGCTGCAGCAGATCCTCCTCGTATTCATCCTGAGAATCCTTGTCCACGTAGCCATACCGAACTTTCTTTGCAGTCAAATTCGTCGGCGAGGAATCAAATACCGAATAATCATCAGGCGAAAGCGACCGCTTCACGATCGTCGTCTTCTTCTCATGCATGCGGAACTGTTTGACCTGTTTGGCTGATCCAGAGAACGGGTGCAGCGGAGGTGAATGCGAGTTTAAAGATGCAGGGGAGGAGAAGTCGGCGTTTATGAGGTTTAGACTAGGAAGGTCGCTGGTGCTTCTGGTGGGAGATGAGGCTGGGGAAGAATCCGGGAATGGGCATGGGGAAGAGGGTGGAGAGCTAGAAGGGGAGTAGAAAGTATGAGGGTGATGGGGATACATGAACGGAGAGTGATTGAAGGGCTAATTATAAATAGAGCTTTAGTACAAGGACGAATAAATGGCGTGTAGAATGTGAAAAAGTCGAGATTTTGCGATTAAACGGACAAGGCGCGTCGGAACGCGTATTTCTCACGCCGAAACACATACTATTTGGTTTTCTTTGCCGTATCTCAGCACCAACTGCAGCATTCTAAGCACTTGCTTTATATTTTCATCATTACATTATTGTTAGTACTTCAAATTAATTGTTCAGCAAAATTTACCTGTATACATCCCTGCACGTCCGCGCTCAGAGGGTTTACAAACGTTAGCGATGGGTTTAGAAGGCACGGACTTGTATACCTCTGTGCATCTACTCAGAGGGCGTACAAGACATCGGCTAGAGATACCATAAGTCCAAGGAGTCTAGGTGCCAGCCTGATTGTTCCAAGTACCTTCTCGAAGTCATCAACGTTTGCCCAAGTCCCGAGATCCCAGTCCCGACATGCTTTATCGAATCCAAAGTCCATAGTCCTGAGTTGCGCTCTACAGAGATTCTGTTGATTTAGAACAGGTCAGTACAGGGGCGCTCCGGAACAACAGGCAATCAACCAGAGCCACTGGCCTGGAGGATAGTTGGGTGAATGTTTTACTCATAATTAATAGTTGTTGGTTAAGTTCAAATTGCAGGCAGTCGCTATGAGACATACTAGGTGATGTTTGAGTTCAGAGCTTGGAGACACGACACTTGGTCAAATTTTTATGTACCGTGGTTTA